ACAACATACTCCAGAATTCCAACTGATCTTGACATTGAACCTTCTGTGGTGAACTTCAACTTCAGAGAAAATCAAATCATACCAGTTAATATTAGCAACTTAACAACAAGAACAGTGACTGTTAATCCAAAGGCAATACTTTGTGAGCTTCACCCAGTATCCATCATAGAACAGCCTCAACATCTACAACAGGAGGAGATAACTCATTTGCAGGAAGTGAAAATTTCTACTGACAACTTATCATCTAGTCAGATACAGGAAGTACATGAACTACTCAGAGATTACAAGGATATATTTTCAAAAGGCGAGACTGATATCGGGTTTAATGACACCGTGAAGCACAGAATAGATTTATTAGATGAACAACCTTTCAAGCAGAGAACGAGGCGAATACCACCTGCTATGTTTGAAGAAATCAGAAACCATTTACAGATGCTGCTAAATTCCAACATCATAAGAAAATCAAGTTCACCATTCTCAAGTAATGTAGTAATAGTCAGAAAAAAGGACAACAAACTAAGAATGTGTGTAGATTATAGACAACTGAATCAAAGAACAAAGAAAGATGCCTATGCATTGCCACGGATTGAAGAAATTCTTAATGCACTTTCAGGAAATAAGTATTTCTCGGTTTTGGACATGAAGTCTGGCTACCACCAAGTTGAGATCTTAGAAGAACATAAAGAACGAACAGCTTTCACTGTGGGACCTCTCGGTTTTTATGAATTTAACAGACTTCCATTTGGACTATCAAACAGCCCAGCAACATACCAACGGTTGATGGAGAGCTGTCTAGGAGACCTGCATCTGAATATTTGTTTTATTTTTCTTGACGACTTGATCATTTTCTCGAGATCTTATGAAGAGCATATTCACAGATTACAACTAGTATTTGATAAACTTAGAGAATCAGGCCTGAAACTATCACCAAAGAAGTGCAACCTATTTATGAAGAAGGTTAAGTATGTAGGCCACATTGTTTCAGAAGAAGGCATAGAAACGGATCCAGAAAAGGTGCAAAAAGTCTTAGATTGGCCAACTCCTAGTACACCAGAAGAAATAAGAAAGTTTATTGGTTTCATCGGGTATTATAGGAGATTTATTCCAAATTTTAGTAAAATCTCAAAACCCTTGACAGAAATGATGCCAAAATCAAATATCAAAAAGGAAAAGAAAGGAAAACATGCAACAAAGGAATTCAAATGGGGAATAGAACAGAAAGAAGCCTTCCAACACCTTAAGAAATGTTTAACAGAACCTCCAATTCTTGGATTTGCAGATTACAACCTACCTTTTGAATTACACACGGATGCCAGCAAGTTAGGACTTGGAGCTGTGTTGTATCAGGAACAACAAGGAAGAAAAAGAGTTATCAGCTACGCAAGTCGCAGTCTAAGTCCTACTGAGAAAAACTATGCAGCACACAAATTAGAGTTCTTAGCTTTGAAATGGTCCATTTGTGAAAAATTTCATGACTATCTTTATGGACATAAATTTACAGTATTGACGGACAACAATCCTCTGACATACGTACTGACAACAGCGAGACTTGACGCTGCAGGACATAGGTGGCTAGCAGCTTTATCTGTTTATGATTTCAATATTATTTACAGGCCTGGAAATCAGAACCAAGATGCAGATGCTCTGTCAAGAAGACCTACTAATAATGATTTTGAATCCATTTCTACAGATTCCATCAAAGCAGTTTGTAAAGCATTTCATGCAGAGCCACTTGTAACATCTTTGTCTTTAGATACCTCAATTTTTGATCAAAATTTTTCTCAACAGGATGTCATCGACCAGCAGATTGATTGGTACAATGTTCAGAGAAATGATCCAACTCTTAAATCATGGATCCATTATGTAAAGCTGCAAAAGAAACCTAGACTTGAGGATTTGCCATTTCAGCCTGACTCACAAGCATTAGTTAGGAATTTCAACAAACTTAGACTAATCAATAATATTCTTTACAGGGAAACAACTTTATTCGACAACTCTAATCAGCAATTGGTAATACCAAGAAAATTCAAAGACAAAGTTTTGATGGAATTACATAACAAATTTGGACATCCAGGAAGAGAAAGAACATCATCTTTAGTCAAAGACAGATTTTATTGGGTAGGAATGCACCAAGACATTGAAAACTGGATAAAGAACTGTAACAGATGTGTGCATAGGAAGGCAACAAATCAAAAGGCACCACTGGTTAACATCAATTCATCTTATCCACTAGAACTGGTCTGCATGGATTTCTTGACATTAGAGATGAGTAAAGGAGGATATCAACATGTACTCGTCATAACAGACCACTTCACTCGTTTTGCACATGCGGTTCCAACTCGCAACATGACTGCAAAGACAACAGCAGAGGCATTGTACAACAATTTCATCACTTACTACGGAATTCCAACTAGAATACACTCAGACCAGGGAGCTAACTTTGAGAGCCAAATTATAAAAGAATTATGCCAGATCACAGGAATGAAAAAGTCGAGGACAACTCCTTACCATGCAATGGGCAACGGACAATGTGAGAGACACAATAGAACTTTACTCAACATGCTAGGAACCCTGAAACCATCACAGAAACAGAACTGGAAGCTGTACATTAACCCATTAGTACATGCATACAACTGCATCAAGAATGAGTCAACAGGCGTTTCCCCATATTTCCTTATGTTTGGACGTGAACCAAAATTACCTATAGACATAGAGTTTGGATTGAAGAAAGAAGAAAAGAAATCAGTATCTAAGTACATCAGTAACTTGACAGAAAACATGAAAGCAGCCTATGAACTAGTAAACAAGATAACAAAGAAATCGCAGGAAAGACAGAAAGAAAGTTATGATAGGAGAACTACAAATGCAGAAATACAGATAGGAGACAGAGTATTAGTAAAGATTGTAGCGTTTGATGGGAAACACAAAATAGCAGATAAGTGGGAAGAAGAACCTTACCTAGTTATTGACCAACCAAACTTAGAAATTCCAGTTTATAAAGTACAAAAAGAAACATCAAAAGGAAAAACCAGGACATTACATAGAAACCTACTACTCCCTATTGGACATCTAGATTCATATGAAGCCAATTTAGAAGAATCATCGACATCACTTTCCAAACCTACTCCTAAACCCAGGACAAGGCAAACATGGAAAAAACAAGAACAGGTTCAAGAGAAAACACCAGAGACTAAAGAATTAGAAGATGAAAGAGATGTTAGTTCTGATGAAGAGTCAGTAATAGAATTTATCCCAGTACCGGTACCAAGGATTCCTGAGGTTAACATCCCAGAAGATGTTGGTAAACACTCAGGAAAGCAGAGAGTACAGAGATCAAAAGAGCAGACAGTACAGAGCCCTAGAGAGCAGACTGTACAGAGCCCTAGAGAGCAGACTGTACAGAGCCCTAAAGAGCAGACTGTTGACCAGAGAGAACAGAGACAGAAAAGAGAAGCAGAGGAAGAAATACAGCATCATGATGCAGAGGAGAAAGCAACAGAGCAACAGCCAGTACAGATAGAGGCAGAGCAACAGCAGGAACATGCTATAGCTGATGTAAGTCCTAGATCTGAAGATAAAGAACAAGAACCTGTACCAGTGTTACCGAGGAGGAGTACTAGGGAGAGAAGAAAACCTGATTGGCTAAACCCCCAGGAATATGTCTTAGCACAGCAGCAGCATCAAGATGAATGGATGAAGAAATGCGATTATCTACATTGTTTGAAAGCAACATCAGAAATGAAGTTATATGAGAATGAAATAGTTCAAACCATGCTGGATATTTTAAAGAAAAGCTAATCTGATTTTAATTGAACATATTTATTTTTATTTCAGATATTCCAGTAAACGAGAAGAATAGCAGGAATAGAACAGAATACAGTCAGTAAGTCCATTAGAGAAATGACGGGGACGTCATTTTCTAATGGGGGGGAGTTTGTAGTAGAGGTACTTTTATTAAGAATTATAAAAGTTGAAATGATTTTAAATGAAATAAAATAAATATTAGATATAAATTAAATAAATTAAATAAACTATTAAATATGTTATAAATGCATAAATGATAAGTTTTCTATTAAAGTTTCATTCTGTTCATTCTTTACTAACATGGGTATTTAGTGACATAGTTATACACCCCTTTGGATCCACACCTGTACATATACTTTTACATGACCACACGCACATCTATTGGTCAGATTTTGAAATGGTTAGATTTCATTGGTTGTAAGTTTAGTCTTTGTGGGGTACTGAGTTTTATTCAGAATTAGCTCAAGATTTAGAATGGATAAGACATAATTTATATACGCTGCTGACTTTATTTATTCAAAGACCTAAGACAGTTCCTGAAAATGTAGCACCATAAGTAAAGAATTAAATTATTGCTTTGGAGAAAGTTCAGTTCCATAAATTGGTATGTCTATCTGTATATATATTTTTTATGATTTGTACAGAAAGATAAAAGAAAGATAACTCTTCACATGACTGTTAAGAGTAATTATGTTGTAAGAGTTAACTCCCTTATATAGAACATATCGAGTTAAATTGATAAATATGATAAATAATTGTTAAAGGGAAGACAGATAATTTGTTATATTTTTATGATCAGAATATTAGATAATTGATATATTGTTTATACATATTTTTATGACGCAATTTGTATATTGCAGGACATATCCATTTTCCATTATTCCATATATTCCATTAGTCCATTTTCCATTATCCATTTATCATCAACTAGACATGTCACCATAATAAAATGTAAAATTTAAAAAGCTACAAGTGTGTTTTCCATCATTGCCGGGAATACCCGCTACACCTGCAAAAATCAACCATTTGATTTTCAGTAGGGGGCACATCAAAATGTCAAAATTTAAAAATTTTCCTATCAATAAATCGACCATCTGAAATATGCGATAAAGAAATTAATTGACCACCATATTCACACAAAAAATATCTGTCATAGCATTTTGTAAAGAATGCAAAACTATAAAAATATAACTTACAATCTGTGACGATGCTCTTGAGATTAACAAGGATTGAAATAAAATTGGATTTGGAGATAAAATTGTTTACATTATTTGGTATTTTTGAATCAACGATCCCGATTATATTCACCAAATATTTAATGCGTATTTTCGCATTGCTGATTAAAAAATTTACTAGTATGATCCATCAATTTAATCTCATATATTTAAAAAATATATTATTATGACAACAGCTGACGAATATTATAACAGCAAGAAAATCTTGTATTCATATCGGGCTCGACATTTTGATAAAACTTATTACTGAAATAATGTCAAAAACATATTTTGCACAAACATGTTAATCCTATGAAACAACAACCAACTACAAGTAAGTTGATTGAAAAAAATGTAAACATTGTAAATGTACCATTTCATGCTTCTTTGTTTTCAAGAACTTTAGTAAAAAGTTCATTGGTTCGTATTTAATCAATATCTGAGGGAAATATGGTGTATGGTGATGGAAGAACTTGCACTTAAGTGACTTAAGCCAGGCCCCAAGACCATAAGCTGAGAACAGACTTAAGTCAAAATTTCAAATCAATAAAACTTTTGAAATAATCTTGATAACAAAACAAAATTTTTACCATATGCTTAAATTGGAATAATTTATACAAACCTGCAAACTTTTGATAACATATGCATTATAAATGACAAGCTGTTCTCAATTTATGGTCTCGAGTAGCTGCAGAACTGTAGCATTATTGTTTTATATTTAAGTCTTTGAATTCCGCCATCCGACAACAAATTCACAACAAGCAAGTTTATTGGTCAGTAGAGACAACTAGAAGGGGTTAGGAGATGGATAAAATTGACGGTGCGACTGTTAGGGTGAGCGCAGATACCTATATTCAGTTTTATTTAGCTCGGGCTCTTCAAATAGCACGTGACATTTAGTATGTCAGGGATAGACATTAACTTTCAGATTCACTTGCCCTTCGGGCAAGTGATCTCAAACTTTGACTTGTCCGAATGCAAAACTTGGTTGCCCAAAATTAGGATGGAACTTAAGACGAAAATTATTAATTACTGCAAACATTATGAAAAGAAAAAATGTGACAAAATACACTACTGTCAATTTGGCAAGTTGAGCTACCTGGTACCTGAAAAAATTTTGATCCTGCATTTGTACATAAATGTATACCGCTTGTAAATGTACTTGTAAATGTAACCTGTTAACACACACTGCCATGCAGCAATAACCCTCCATTTCCTTTTTAAATATCATATTTTTGAAAATTATTTGCGGTAGGATCATTTTGTAATTCGTGATTTTCAGCGATAACTGTGAAGCAACGCTTAAGGAAGATAGTTGCTACGAAACATACATCTTACCTTGATCAGGATACAACGTGTTACATTGTACCTATATTCTGTGCTTGAATAATCTAATTTCCTAATAAGAAGTTAACAAAATTTTGTTAGACGTAGAGTGTATTTCCTACGAAAGAAAACAACAAACTCGATTTTTAAATGAACGGTATAATTCAGAAATGCTACCAAGGAATTTCAAATGCAAAACATTGTCAGTCAGGTGCGTGGCGGAAATCAAGTGTTCAATTTATTGTTTTATCTATAAATTGATGTAAACTAAATAAATATGTACATTTTGTATCAGAAAAATTCACTTGCCCGATCGGACAAGTATGTCGACAACTTCACTTGCCCGAACTGAGAATTTACTTGTCCCGGGCAATCGGACAACCGTTAATGTCGATCCCTGTATGTCTAGACTCTGATGTCACATGACGTCGCTTGTAAGTTGCATTACCAAAACAAAGTCTGAACAGCGCTAATTTTAATAAAGAAGGTTTAATCTACTATTTATCTGCTATACATCCATCAAATCAAGGTGAATTAATTTTTTTCTTGGAACTTCTTGTTACCGCAAGAACGATGTTTGCGGCGAGATACAATACTCAAAGCATTATGGGACCACAGGTAAATGCGGAAAATTTGTTTGGATCAATGTGCAAAGTCTGAATTTTCTCTTAGCCCAGGCGTTGCTTTAAGAGCTTGCAGTGATGAGCAATGCTTCACGCTTCTCACTGCGCTCGCTATAACAGGTTGATTACAGAATATGTCCAGAATTAGGGAATGAAAGGTCATTGATTGACCAAAGCTAAAAGGTGGCGAAATACATTCGAAAGTGTGCAGAAAATTTTGAGCTGTAAATTGCACAATATTTTGCATTACGGGATCTGTAGTGTTATGGTCGAAGACTAATATATAAAACCATAACACTATAGTTCTGCAGCTAGGTCTCGAGGCCAGGCAAGTCTTATTCCATGTTTTGTTACAGCTAGACTAACGTAATTGAAAAATAAAATGACCTGTCTGGGCTGTTTTTTGATACTTTCTGGAAGTATATAATGGGAATGTTTTGGTCTGAAAATTGGAGTATTTGCATACATAAAATTGCAGACTTCATTAAAAATCAAAAGTTTCTTTTTCTAGCAATCAAACCTTTATTTTGCTTTATTCCTAGACTCCTTGTGCAAAAGTCAAAAGACAAAACACATCCCCACCTAGGATGGGGCCAAGATGGTCATGCTTTGAAAACACATCTTCAAATATTTTTTTCTCTTTACTCATCATGTTCATGGGTGTTTGCTTGATTGTAAGTAGCACTTTAAAAAAAATTATTTCCCCTTGTCCAGGGTCCATGTTCCAAGGTGGGTCTTAGCTAGTTGATCATATCTTTTATATACATTTACCGGTAATCTCTAAATCTGAATTTTTTATTCCCTACTTTTGCTATAAGTAGTGTATAGTAATTTAGATCTGTCTGTCATTCTGTGTATAACAATTGTTTCCAGATGATATCTAAAAAGTCTTTATTAATAAACTTTTGCAATGAAACTTCATATATAAATCCCTATGACTTAATGAAAATCCCTATTGATTTTGGGGTCAAAAGGTCAAAGGTCATCCATTCATATACACATGTATTGCAAAGTGATAACTTTAGTTCTCTGCAATGAAATTTTGTATCATAACCCCTTTTGACTTAAAAAAAAGAAGACCTCTGTTGATTTTGAGGTCAAAATTCAAAGGTCAAGGTAGGTTAAAAGGTCATCAATATATTGAATGAGAGCTTTTGCAGTGAAACTTAAGAAAGGTGAAAACTCTCTCAAACTTTTGAAAATCCCTTTGAATATGAGGCAAAAAGGTAAAGGTGAAGGTCAAACTTTCTTTTCTTCTCCTGATGGTTTTTTTTGGGGGGGGGGGGGGGGTTCACCCATTTATTTTGTCCTTAAGAGAGGGACATAAATTCTTTGAGTTAACTTGTCTCCCTCAGAGACAGCTAGCTGGCAAACTGTTTGAATGATTATGGTAAATACCAGGTAGCTAGCTGTTTGCCAAGATATCTTTAAAGATCTTTTCTACACCTAGTAACATTCAAAAATAAAAATAGTGAACAAAGAGTCCTCACCAAATTTATATCACATGATTCCAGAGTTCCAGTACCAAAAGGCAGAAAAACTGATGACACTGGTGTGACTGTCAAGTCCCATGGGCCTCTTGATTTGTGGCACATAACTTATGTTAGTATACAGCTTCTTTTAAATGCAGATTAATTTTTACCAATATATATCTTTTAATGCACTGAGGTAATCATGAATTAAAAATTTAGAAATATGAACTACTAGGTAGAGTAAGTTTTATTCTTTCTATTTACAGACAAAACCATGCCACTTTCACCAAGGAAAATGTTGAGGCAACTAGTGCAACAACAGAACAATGCTGAACTTATCAATAATTTGAAAGACAGTACTTTACCTTTGATGGAAATGTCTTTAAAGGCTGGAAATCACTTTGAAAAAATTGTGAAAGGACTTGATGATTTACGACAAAAATCTTTACTCTGCGATTATACTTTGAAAGCAGACGATGAAAGCTTTGCAGTTCACAAGGTAGTCATGGTGGCATGCAGTGATTATTTCCAAGCAATGCTGACCAGTAATATGAAAGAATGCCATGAGAATACAGTAGAGTTGAAAGGAATTTCAGCAAATGGTTTGAAGATCATTGTAGACTTTGCATACACAGGGGAGCTTAAATTAAACACACAAAATGTTGAAGATGTTCTCTCCGCTGCAACACATTTACAAGTTAGTGATGCTATGGATTTATGCAGCACATATCTCGAAGCCTCGATCTCTGTGCGTAACTGTGTTGACATTCTAAACATTGCAGAACTGTATTCCTTAGAGCCTTTATGTCAAGCTTCCAGGCGATTCATGCTCCACAACTTTGAGGAACTGGCAGAATCAGAACAGTATTCAATGTTGAATAATGTGCAGTTATCACAACTTCTGGCAGAAAACAGTCTCCGTGTGTCCTCAGAGTTTATGCTGTTCAATCTTGTTCTGAAGTGGATTCGATATGACCCAGCAGAGAGAGAACAATTTGTGTCTGAACTGATTGAAAATATCAAGTTCCCCTTGATGACAGGTGAGGAACTTGTGGAGAGAGTCAGTAAGGTTCCTATAATGAAGCAGCATCCTGAATGCAGCAGTCTGCTTACTGAAGCAAAAGATTATCATATTGTTGTCAGTAAGCAACCATTACTTCAAAACAAGAGAACAAAGGTCCGTTCAGATGCACCAGTTCTAGTCATGTGCCATGCTTCCAATTTAGAGACCTTCAATTTTGGAAATACCAAACGAGGTTACCTGAAAGAGGCTATTGTTCCATTGTACAATCCATCAGTAGCTGTAGTGGATAACTTTCTGTATACATGTGGAGGAAAATACGAAGGTGCAGGAAGTAGCACAGACATTGCAACAGCTCGCTGCTTTAGATATGATCCAAGGTTTGACACATGGTTTGAGTTAGCTCCCATGAATGAGCCTAGGAAAGATTTTGTGATGCTGGCTTTGGACTCCAAGCTTTATGCAATTGCTGGACAGGATGAAAACAAGGTAATGCACACAGTGGAATGCTATGACATCATGAGCAACGAATGGGAGATGAAGCAGCCATTGAGTCGTCATGTTTATGGCCATGCAGGGTGTGTGTGCAGTGGTAAAATCTATGTGTCCGGTGGACAAGTGTTTGTTGGAACATGGAAAAAACTCTTTGCCTACACCCCAGAAGAGGATACATGGGAAGAGAGAGCCCCAATGCTGCAGAATAGACTGAATCATATAATGATGGAAGTGAAGGAAAAGATTTACGTTATTGGAGGTAACATTGAGGATGCTTATGGGTTTCCTATCCCTATTACAGAAATCGAAAGGTACTGTCCCAGAGCCAATCAGTGGACGGTCTGCAAAGCTAAGTTTAACATCCGTGAAGCAGGATCTTGTGTTTTGAACAATACAATTTTGATTGTTGGGGGGATAGGGGGAGAGCATTACTTGTCGGAGTATGTTCAGAGATATGACCCTGAGAAAGACAAAGTTGAGATTGTTGAACACTTTGCTACAAGAATCAATGGAAAAGCTTGTGCTATTTTAACTCTTCCTCACTTTATTTGATTAAATGGCATAAAATAATTTTGAGACCTCATGTCGCAGTTACAGCTGCAGTAAATAAATTCCGTAGATGCCATAGTTAATATTTATTGTACATGTAAAACAGTCAGGGAAAAGGAGGCACTAGTACTTATTTATATTTTTATAGTTTTTAAAGACAAAGATACATTAGCAAGGCATCCATGGGTACTTTCTGGAACAGAAATGATTTTGTTGAATTAGCTCGTTCTTTATAGACAGGGTTGTGGTTAACTTTTGAAACCTTAGGGGCCATGTGGGCTCATAACTTTTCAAATTTTACAGGCCCACAATGTGACCCACGGGCCCACATTATTTGTAAATTAAAAATAACAACAAAAATCCTAATTTTTCTAATTGATTTTGTTTTTTTTTTGTAGTATTGATATGTTCGCAGTATATGAATATTTGTCACGTTTTCTCTTTTCTAAAAACTTTGATCCAATAATATGTTCATTACATTTTGTACTGTTTAACTTATAAACTGAAGCGTCTGTGGTTTAACAAGGGGGCATATTAAATAATAAATTACATACAACCTGTGATGAAGTTTGATTGCGATCTTTTATTGTATGCATTTGACATGGTAATTCAAATTCTGTCTGTGAATAACTAGCGTGGAGTGTGTGACAACCATAGCTGATTGTTACAATATTTCTGTCAGAACAATCTTGAACATTTGCTCTTGTATCAACGGAGATTTAACCACTTTGATAAATTGCCATGTTTGATCTCAGTTACGTATATGTTGGAATAATATGCTTGTAAGTAACACAAAAAATCTAGTTTAATAGAGTGTTTTCTTAAAAACTGAAAGTACATAAAATTTAAAACTGAAATGTGATTATGTTCCAGAAAAAAAATCGTTCACCATGTGGGCGACCAGATTTTTAATATCTAATCGCCCACAGCAAATTTTACTCGCATTTGCGAGTGGTTATCCACAACCCTGAGAGAGTATTTGAATGATGTTCCTGCTTTATATCTGCCCTTGATCATGTCAGTATAGCACTTGTTCATCATTATTCACAGATGTTGTTATTTAATATGCGTATATACACTACAGGTTTAATTGTAATGAATTAAATTATAAATGAATATCATCAAAATTATTTATTGTTGAATTGAGGTGTACCGGTACATTATTTGTTTATTCTTTTCTCCTGATTATAAAAAATTACAAGGAGTGTATCAGTATTCAGCAAAGTTTAAAACATGAGAGATATAATTATTTCACAATTTTAGACTAGTATGCTAGTGTATGCACAATTTTTGTTTGAACATATCAGACACATGTAGTACTAAACATGTTTTGTGCAAAAAGACTTTGAAAAATGATTTCAACAGTGTTTTCAAACACTGGGATGATTCTAAATAACTATTTTTGAATGAGTCTGTAGAATTCTGATGGTTTCATATTTATTGACTTTGTTAGTTTTTATTACAAATTGTCATGTTTAAGTCTGAGTGTTTTCTGTCTTTTGACAAGCAAAGCTGTAATTTTACTTCTATTGTTTTTACAGAAATGTAATAAAGATCATCTACACTTGAAATGTTTAAAATGTGTACATGTTGATTACCAGTATTGCTGAGGACTAGTCTCTATGATAAGGTTTACATGTGTACCATTTGTACGGTATAAGTGGTTTATGTATATATTGTGATAAACATATGAAGGCATTCTAATTAAAATTATTTAGATGATACGAATACCCTACGTCTTCTCAAGAAGTGGATTTGGAATGTCTAATTTTAATTAGATTGATATAAAGGTTTCCATAACATGCATACAGATAATTGATCTATGATGTGAATAAACCATGTGTTGAATGCATTTTCTTAATATATTTGTTTAGAGAAAAAGTTAGCATTAACTACATATATATGAGGATGCTTATGATTCAGTTGACAAATGATAGCAACACAGGAAATTTGTGTCAAAATCAACTTTCCAAAACAAAAAACAAAAAAAATTTTTATTTAAAGGAATGGTCAACATCTAAACTGCAACTTTACGTATACAAAAAGTTATAAATGTTTGTATTTATGAAGTGCAAATCCATTTTCTTAGGCATACAATAATAAGGACACAAGCTTTCAATTTTTTACTGACTGAATGCATACATGTAGTTGGCACATTTTCATTTAATGTACATGTAGTTGTATACATGTATTTGTATTTATCTACATTTCCAAGTATTTTTCCTAAAGATTCTTTACAAATCAGAAATCAGAAAACAGTTCATTTTCTCATGAACTACCATGAATGAGCGTGAATATCTCTATTGTTACATCATAATACCATAGTTTAATTGTTGAAAATTCGTGAGGTACATGACCTACATTGTGAAATGTGACATTTAAGGTAGCATGCCTTGTGCTTCACCAACTTAGCTACTCAGGAATAGTATTTGAACACATAAAATTAGCAGGCATTGCTTTATGCTCATTTGTTCCCAGATCTATGTGTAATGGTGACCATACTGTTAATTTCGTTTTGAAACCTTTGTAAATGCAGGTTCCATATGGAAATGAGAGAATAAGAGAGATATCAAGTATTTTTCTATACATTCATGACAGTGTTATGCTAGAGTCTAATTTTAAGGACATACGCAACGTAGTTTGAACTTTATTGTTTCTTTTCCTGGAGTTGAAGAGTTCCAATACTTAAAGGAATTGTGTGCTACATTTTTATATCTATATAATTATGCTGTTGTACACTTCTTCTAAAACAAGTTTTGATAAACAAAACATGTAGAATATATGTTTAGTAATTTTTGTGTATTTTTCTTTGAATTATACAAGAATTTTCATCAATTGATATCTTTTCAAAACCCCTGGTAATGCATGCTGATTTTTTGTCAACGAACATCTGATGGCACTATAATCTTAAATTAAGAATATCCTGAAAAATTATCAGTAAGTAAGGTACGTTGCATATGTCCTTAAATCCAATCTTTGGTATTAGCTGCACCTCTCATGCATATTATCAACCAAATCGTAAATCAAAGACAGGTAAATTCTCAAAAATATGCAAAGCAGTAAGGGCATAAAAATAATTATTTTATTGTATCGCATATTAAATCATTTTGACATTCAAATTTGGTCCCCCCCCCCCCCCTGTATTTGTAGAGTTGTTAAATATATATATACTGAAGCCAATGCCCTGGGTTTGATACATTTGGGAAGGGAGTTTTTAAGTTTTTGTTTTGTTTTGTTTTTTGCTTGTAAAGAAATTTTTGGGTTGGATTTTTTTTTGACTGGGGTGCTCCCCTCCCCCCTTATGATTTGGACAAACTTTAAAGTTATGCTATACTATTTGATATTGCTATTTCAAAAGTGTTTGGGGGGTGGGGTGATTTATGGTTTTCTTGATGTAATCTTAAAAAATCCCACTCTGTAAAATATTGTTTTCAAACTATTTCTCTTGCATCATGGTCTGACTCTTCATTCCCAACATGAATGGACTTTATCTATAACTAAGGATGTGCTTGCCAAGTTTGGTTGAAATTGATGAATGGACTTTATCTATAACTAAGAATGTGCTTGCCAAGTTTGGTTGAAATTGATTTGAAATTAGTAGTTATAGGGAAGATATTGAATTTGCAGAAAGTTCAAATTGAGTTATCATCATTAATAACTTTTTCATTGACAAAATTAGAGGTTTTTTATTTTTTTTTAATCAATATATACAGATTTGGAAGCACACAACACTACTTTCTATTTGTGCAGTTTGCCAACATGATGCTTATATTGGGACTGACCTTGGAAAACTATTTGAAATTACACTTTTAAAACAAAATAAAGTTTCAAAATAGTATTTTATTGCAATGGGCTGAGAAACAAAGCCATTTATTTGACATACTCCTCTTTGTGTGTTAAAGCAGGAAAGGAGAAATTTTATGGCTGGACTAGGAATCGAACCCAGGATCCCTGCATTAATAGTCAGGCACTCTAACCACTGAGCCATCCAGACCGATATCCATGGTCCATTTGGCCAAACCACTCCATTCCTTCCATTTGAAATTGTCTTCACTCTTGGAAGACACACAACCCAGAATCTTTAGCCCCAGACAGGGCTTTCAACTGCAAGTCCCCCCCCCCCCCCCCCCCGGAATTTGTAGAGTTGTTAAATATATATATATATATATATACTGAAGCGGAATCTCAATCTGTCTAGCTGCCTGTCTGTCTGTAAACTAGCATTTTTGACCAAAGTTGGCACAAAACATTTATGGGTAATGAAGATTCTAAATTATTCAAATGAGGGACCAAGCCCCTTTCCAAGTGAAAATAATCAAGAAAACAAAATTAGGGAGGAGTCACTAAAAATTTTTCTTCTCGAGAACCACTGGGCAAGAAAAGATGGAACTTACCTGTAATACATATGAAAGCTTAGTGAGGTAGTGTTGATTTGAAATTGTTCAAATCATGGTCCTCTAAACTAGGATGGGGACCCTATAGGGGATCTTTACTTTGACCATGGAATATAGGCCTGTAGAACACCCACTTTTTTTCTGAGTATAGTTTTTGCTATAGTACACTTTTCTTTAGATGCGGGGGTCATGATTTGAACAAATTTGAATCTACATTTTGTTATGAAGGTATCATGTAAGTTTCAACTTTTCTGGCCCAATGGTTCTCGAGAAGATTTTTTCACCAATTCTTAATTATCTCCCCTTGAAAGAGGGTGCGGCCCTTCATTTGAACAAACTTGAATTCCCTTCACACAAAGATGCTTTGTGGCAAGTTTGGTCGAAATTGGCTTAGTGGTTCTTGAGAAGAAGTTGAAAATGTGAAAAGTTTACAGACAGACACCAGACAAAATCTGATCAGAAAAGCTCACTTAAGCTTTCAGCTCAGGTGAGCTAATAAGGAATAACTGTCTGGGCTTTTTTAATTATATGTATGATGTACTTTGTAATCATAGGCATGTAGTATTGGGGGGACATTGCACCCCCTTTTCCAAACCTTATCTTTTACTGTTAATTTAGTATAATATTGATCACTGAAAGGCCAGCCTTCCTCCCAGTTTCTATTACAATATAATCAAAATCTCCCATATTGATATAATAAAAAAAAAATCCTTGTAATAACTTAAACCCTTCCCCCACCCTACCCCTAAGAGATCAGGGAGAGATGAAAGATTTCAGAGTAAAGGAGGGTTTGTGATAAATCCTTAAAGACATCTTAGACTGCCTTTAGACTCAGTGAGAACTCAACAAGTTTAATTTCATGACAACGAAATAGTTTATTTTAATATGAATCATAAATTTTAACTCAGAACACAGCATCATGTATAACAATTGGAAAACATTTTTTTCACAATTATTGCATTACTTGTCATGCTTATGAGGAAAAACTAGAGAAAAAAATGAATCTTTCTCTAGAAAACCAATCTCTACTACTTGTGTACTTAGTTGCACATGGTGCATATTGCATAACATTAAAATGTACAAAGCAAAGTATATATAGCATCAATAAATTCTTTTGTAATGAAAAAAAAATGTGGAGAGAGCATCCCAAACAATTGAAAATTACTGTTACATAAAAAGATTACCGGTAAAATAATTTGTACATTAAGGCCTGTTGTGCAAATCAAAGAGAAAAAAAGAGAGAATATAGTAAGATTATTGGAATGTTTATTGAAACATATCAAAAGGTGATAATGCAACTAAGAGATCACATTTTTTTTCAAGAATCGGTGCAGAAAATTTTTTTTTTAAAAATGTATTGGCTAGCATATCAAAAAGTGATTTAAAATTTAAGAGGGCTGCAATGAAACTTGAGTTGATGACGCTATCTTAAAAACAATCGCAGCCTGTTGATCTTGAGGTCAATGGTTAAAGGTCAAAATAAAAAAATTCAGGTCTTTGGTGTAAAACATATTTTGGTTACACTGCTCTATAAAAATTTCAAACTTATGTGCAGTCTTACAATGTACACACCCTCTCCTATATTAATGTAAATCTACAATAAGGCTCATCATTTTGCAGATAATACATGTACATGTATCTTGGATTCAATTAACCCTATGCACAGCTTCAAAATTTACAGCTTAAATGAGGAATACAATATACAACTTATGAATAAAATTGGCAATTAATATTTTACCAATAGTGGATAAAATGGAAAAAAAAATGAAAAGGTAATTATGTTGATTTAAATATATCAACAACATTGTCATTATCAATATCAAATTCTTATATACAGTCAGAAATAATTCAGATATGTGAAGTTGCTAACATTTTGTTTATCTGATGTTATTAAGTACTAATTAAATATTGCTTATACATGTACTTTTAAGTTAATGAAAAAGTTAATGGGTGTCTTTACACAAAGAAATAAGTAGAGGGAGAGAGGGAGGTTTTTACTACATGTATATATTTCTCAAACATGAAATTAAAACTTATATATGCTTGACACAATGAATTGCTAAATATTTAAATATATTGTATGAAAGTGAAAAAAAAGTTAAAGAGAAAGGAGAGTTTTGAGATGTAAAATTTATATGTCACTACCCTTGAAAAATTAAAAGAGAAGAAAATATCCCAGAATATCTTACTAACTTGTAAAAAAAAAAAACTTGTTTTTATATGTGCAATATAATGGGTATAATTTTTCTTGATTATCTGATTTTACAGTTTTTGTAAAGTTATTTAAAAATACAATATCAAAATAAATGTTAGTCTGAAATGAACTTGACATAAAGAATTAAAAATGAAACTGCAGAAACTTAAATCTACCGATACTGCCCTTCATAAAGTTACAATTCAAAAAGAAAATAAAAGAATTTCAAAATATATTACAATAAGCTCCTCAAGCTAAAAACTTGAAGCGACTTCTTTTTTACATTTCAAAATACCCGGTAAGTCAAAATTTCATTAAATATCAAAGTAAAAATAAGTTAGGGGAAAAATCAAAATGAAGCAAAATTGAGTTAGGGGTGAGACATAGCCTTGGAGGCATCCCCTGCCATTTTTTCCTGTAAATGTGAAAAGAGAAAGGACTGATCAGTCTTTTCAAGAGAAAAATAGAAAAGAGAACTAGCTTTATTACAAGGATCAGATTTTTTAACTAATTAAGTTTTCAAATTCATATTAACAAAAGAAAGAGAATATTCTTCTTAACTAAAAAAAAAAAAAAGGAAAGAGAAAGGTACAGTATTGTTAAAAAAAAATTGCTGCATAATAGGTAATTTATCCATTTTTCAAATTCTTGCTTTATGTTCAAATTTAAAAAAAATATTAAATAGCAAAATAGTGTTGCTCTATGAAATTGCAAATTCAAACTTATAGCCTTTTATATGGATATAATAAAAAAATATGATAAAATATACATTTACTTCAAACTACATGTATGTGCTTTATGAGGGAAAATTTTTGCATGAACTTGACTTAATTCTTTTTATTTAGAAAGCAGTAAAAAAAAAATTCATACCTCATGTATTAATCAATTAGAAGGAGAGGAAGGGAACTGATCAGTTTTGTTTTCACAAAACTACCTAGGGTGAAAAATATAACTCTGTCTGAATTTAAAAGAAAAAGAGAGAGTATTAAATCAAAATATTGACTTTTCAACAACAACAAAAACAACAAAAATGGAAGAAAATGGAAGGAAAAAAATACATTGAAGGAATAACAGTAACTGAAAGGAAAATTACTAAAAGCTAACTCAGAAAGGTCATTTCTGTGCTTTTCAATTTTTGCATGATTTTGGCATTTTGAACAAAAATTGAAAAATTAAATAGCATTGTTTATTTACTGTTCAAATAGCAATGTATACTTACTGTTGAAAATGAAAAAAAAATATGAAATAGCAAAAATTTTGAACAAAAGAAATTGTCAGTAAGATGCCTATATTTAACATACGAAAAGAATATATACTTTATATGATGTATTTTCATATTTAAATTTTGAATGAGGATACTTTCCTTACAATTCAGAAAGAAGTAAATTTTTTGAATGATCATTAAAAAAAAATCAATATTAAAGTAAAAATGAGTTAATATGAGGGAGATTATATCCCAAAAGATATTTCTTGTTATCTGTTCCTCTGAATGTAAAAAAGGTGGGGGACTGATCAGTCCTATCTTCTTAATTCAGCATTGTTAAAAAAATATTTCTGCTGAAATTGTCATTCAAATAAACAATAAAATTGTTATAAGTTAGATTTGGAAAAAAAATAATGGAAAACATTACTTTTTGTTATGAATGAATTAAATCTAAGTGGATGAAAAATATTTTTCTCTTAATATATTTTAAGCCAAGAAAAAAAAAATGTAATTAACTGCAATGAATAGTCCAATATAATAGTTTGAAAAAAAACATGACACTTTGAATTTAAAATTAAAATACATTGTATTTAAAAATAAATTATTAGAGAGCTTACAATTTTTGTTGCAACAAGTACTTGAGGGAAAATAGAATAATATTGTCCTATTTGGTTAAGTTTCCAAAAAAAATATGTTGTCCTATTTTACACTGAATAAATAATAAAAAGAAAACATTTTTTTAATGACTCTTGTTTAAACATGGACAAATATACCTCCCTTGCTTTTAATCTTACATATTCAGACAAGCACTGATTAAATATTACACCCCTTGTTTTTTTTTTAAAGCTTAAATAACTGATCATTAAAAAATCTTTATAAGAAAATATATATTAAAAAAACCCCAGAGAAAAACACTTATAAACAGACAGACAATAGTTAAGTAACAATCAGCCTTTTCTTCCATATAATATCTTGTGATTTAATGCCTTTATAATAATATGAATTTCAGAGTCAATTAAGTTCTTAATCCCTAAGTGAACTGCATTCTGTTGATATCGGGAGTAATCATTTGTTTTCTAAATCCTATGCAGTTGTTGATGATCAATAATTGCAAGCATGTGACAAGAACTTAAGAATAAGTCCAACAGGTTTCTAGTCTGTCCCTGATCTCTGTATGCCTGTCAGAAATTATTCAGTTACATC